TTCAACCGACCCTCATTGTCAATTTCTAGATGTAAGTCAAGATATGACGCAGACTTAGCAGTATCTATAGTATCCTTTATCTCTAGTTCGATGGGATAGATTCGTTCAACATAGTCCAAATTTTGTATTATTTAGTGAGAGAACATCATCTATATAGCGGAACGTAGAGTTAAAGGATATTGCTAACTTCTTATTTTTCTTCCTAAGAAATTCCTGTATGAAGTCAGTCTCATAATAATACAGAAACAAGTCGGCAAGAAGAGGGGCACAATGGGTTCCCATTGGAATTCCGACAGTCTGTTGAAAAACACGTCTTCCAAACGTAACAAATATGTTGTCAATCAAGAAATCAAGCATCTTGATAATGTCAGTTTCAGAGTATTTTTTGTATGAATCCGAGTGATTCTTTACGAATTAGGTTTTATCCCTCCCCAAGACAAGATACTTGTATCTACGTTCGCCATTCTTTTTAATGAAACAAAGTAATACCAACTCTTTCAATTTTTCTTTTAGTTTGGAATGGGGAATACTTGTGTAAAGTGTAGAAAAGTCAAACGTTTTAATACTATTGCAAGATGAGAGAGTCTTAGATTGTATGTACTCTAAAAGATCTTTGGAATTTTTTAGTATACACATCTGATTCACGCCACCTCTAGAATAGGCAGTTTCACAATAACTTTGGAGCCCGGCTTTGATTGCTGATAAAATAGATGTTAATGATTTAGAAAAAGGTTTCGTGGAGCACTTGGAAGACCAAGCAATATACCGTTGTTTGTAAGGACACTTATGTAATTTAGGTATCCAATACAGTGATGGAAGATCCAGTTCTTCATCTTTGGTTGAAATTCCAAAGGAACATAGAACAGACCTATAATTATCCAGGATTTCCTCTTTGGTAAGTGTCGTGAGGGTATATGTTGAGTTTCCAAGTGAATTGTCAATACCTAATTCATTTATCAAGCAGTCTATGTAATGATATTTACACACAAAAACGATGTTGTTTGGGGCTTTATCTGCGGGGACAACAACATATTTGTCATGGAGGTAGGACAAGTGTCTTGCAACATTTGGGTGTTTGAAAATTGACGTAGCGTGGGTATTGATATGCCCATTTAGTTTCTTAATTCGGATTTGTATCAACGACCTCACAGCCTTGATCCATTCGGAAAGAGTATCTACGTCTTCTTTCTTGCGTTTAGCCCATTGCCTGGCATAATCCTCGACTGAATCCATCAGTATTTTGAAGTTGTATTTCCAATTGATGGATTTAGGCTCACAATATTTCGGACTTTTGGATAACAAATTTCGCAGGGAAGTGTTATTGACAATGTTGAGGTCTCCGGTAATAACGTGGCCAGCTGGATTATATGTGAATTGGGAACTAGCACAGGTGCAATCAGGAGGTTTAGACTTGAAGTCGTCAATGTTGAGATCCTGCAAAACGTGTTTGTAATTGAAAATTTTAGTTGCAATTGGTTTGGTATAGGTATAAGAAATTATTGGTACAGACTGATCTTTAAAATAAGGTGGTATTTTCGACTGAACTAATTTATGATGAAGGATATTGCCTCAGTTGACGTCGAAACCTTTGTTGGCAAAGGAAAGTTTAAGAAAAGATCTTTTCTCTTTTTCATCTTTTCAAATGCGAACTGGTTTGAAAAGTCTGTGACTTGCAATATCCGAAATGATAGCTGTAAGTTTGTATTGGTTTGAATGAGGGTTTGTAACAGTGGTTTCCAAACATAAATTAAACAGAGAATGAAGTTTTGAAAGGGGTAATGAATACAGTTTCGTGCGAATGTGATGAATGCCTGACGGCTTTTGTATAAATGGCAGCAAGTCATTAATAGAGACATCATGCAAAGTAGGTGATGTATATTGACGATGACCATGACTGCGTCTACGTCGAGGAGTAGAGTTAAAAATATTCATTACATTCACCGAGCTACAGGAAGGACTAGATAAAATACCTATACCATCAATTTTGATTATTGATTATTGATCATTATTCAATATACCGCATATATATATGTAAGTTTGGTAAATCATTGGAGATTAAATTAATGTTATCATTTTTGCTTGATTGGTAAGCTAACATTTGATGTATGTTTTACAAAAAATATATGCTGTTTTTTTTATTACAGCAACTGTATTCCAGGAGTCTGATGGCTGAAGGATAAGTGCAAATGTATGAAGGAAGCCTTGGGTACAAAAAACATGAAAAAGCAATTATAGCAATTACATGCAGAAGAGAACTCTTAAACGTTACTAACAGACATGTAGTCATGATATGGGAGTGGTGTATTCAAGAAATCTAAAATACCAGGAATTAAATATCGTGTATATTTGATCAACCACCAGTACTTTCAAAATATAATACAATTCAAATTCAAATTATTGTGTCAACATGACAGTTACGGTCTAAAAATGGAAAATGCATGTTTTAAAATGAATTTTATATAAATATTTGAAATAACAAGAATTTTTAGCTTATTGTGCAGCCAAACATTGAGATCTTTTAATGGTATATGCCTGTTGTTTGTCAACATTTGTTTTCTTTTTGCCTTAATCTTAAGATCGGTGTTAAAATGAAAAACTGAAATACATATATGAAATAAGAAGGAAACGGTTGTAAATAACAGCAAGACTTTCAATATTGTATATCAAATATATTTCACAGAACTTTCTATTTCAGTTTATTAATACAATGAGATATGAGGTATAAATCAATCAGACAGCTACACAACAACAAAAACACCTGAAAGGCATTAAGGTTCTAACATACAGTCCTCAACAATAAACAGGTGTCTAAACAATATGTCATGATCTATTGAATTGACCAGAGTCTATTAACGTTTTGAATAGATCAAACAATACCAATCAAAAAGCTGCTATGAACACCAAATTCTCTAAATATTTATTTTTTATTAAGATGAGACTTGAGACAACCACTGAAAAGGTTCCTGGCTTGAAACGGGTACATGAGTATGTGCCAGGGTGAACTACTTTTTTTTCAAAACTTTCATAAGAAAAATTGACATCTTTTGCAAGTAAGACTTTTTCCATAATGTGATTGGATTATCTCATGACTGATGAACACAAAATGACTTATACGTACATATTAAAAATGAAATATACATCAGTGCATACATATTCTATAAATGAATCACCAATCCATACATCACTTTTAAAAAAGTATTGAGACTCGAACACAACAAAAAAAGTTCTAGGAGTGAACTAAGGTGACCTGGATATTTGCTTGCCTTCTTTGTTTTATTGCATCTTATCTCTTGCATTGGAGATATTGTGAGTTGTGAGTTGAAAGATAAATATTATTTGTATTGTTTAGGACCAAGAAATTTTAGATACAAGAAAGTAAAATATAATGGAAGTATGAACACATGGTAAAGACCAAGAAGAATATTTATATATATCAAAATAGAATGTGTACTAGATTGGCGTTAACTTATCTAAAATATGCTCAAATACTGTGAAATGTGTGTGATTGAAGCTCAATTCACCTTAATTTCATTTAAAAAATATTAACATGAAAGCTCGATTCACGTTAGTTTCACGTGAAAAATTTAACGTGAATTTCACGTGAAAGCTTGATTCCCATTAATTTTATGTGAAATTTCATGTGAATCAGCATTTCACGTAAGTTTCATGTATAAGCTCGTTTAAGGTGAATCTCACGTGAAATTTACGTGAACAAAATTTGCCTGTGTCGTAAACACATGTATAATGCATGTATTACGCATGTGTTAGAAAACGCACGTAATTCACATGTGAAACGCATGATCACATGTGCGTATCATGCGTATCACATGCGTGGCATGAAACGTCGATTTCACATGCGTGTGACACACATGTGAAACGCATGTGTCACGCATGCACACATGTGTGGAGTTTTTGCCAGTGTATACACAAATTTAAAAAAAGCTGTTGAGAGTTTCTCCAAAGAACTTCACAATTAAATGAGTAAAATTTTGGAATAAAAGTGTCTATGGGATATAATTTCTTTTCGTTTCTATATTGATCTACTGAATTCTGTTACGGACATTCGACAATTTGTAAAAAATATTTCTGTTTTACTTAGATAAAGCATCACAATTGCAGTTATCACTTTCTTCCTTTTATTTCTATTCATTGAGAACATGTCGATTGTTTGAAATAGACAAATGTAAATAGCAGATTTTAGCATGAAAAGTTAAAAATGCATTATTGAACGAAATGATGAAACATGTAGAAAAATATAAATATATTTTACTCATCAACTCAGTAAGGAGATCGTCGGCACAAATATAACATACCTGTCTATTATAAAGAAAACAACACTTTATACATTTGTTGCGTCCGAAGCGCTTATTAATTCAGTGGAAATTGGGTCTACCACTTTATAGAGGGAAAACGGTTACTTCTTTACTTACTCAGTTTTGTATTTTCATTTGTATATTTTAAATGGATTAACAAGTTAGATTTTATCGTATGTAAACTGCTGTTGTCTTTTATTTGTATAGCACATCTTGTAGAAAAGTAAATAGTTTGTCTCATACTTAAGTTAAATAAAATTACCTCAAAATGTGGCGTTTTTGGTAGTTTTTGTAAGGAGGTATTCAATGCAAGTTATTATACAAGAGCTACGAACAATGCTTAATATAAAAAACAAAAATAATTCTGAAATCTACAAGTTACAGTAACTGTCCTCTGAAGGATGTTCTTTCATAAATTCAAAATACTATTAAATGTTCGAATTGAAGGGACAACAATAAATTGATTCTATCATTCCTTCCTCTATATCATGTCGTTACAGAAAAGCACAAGGTAACCAAATATGAATATCTTATATGGGCGTTGTACCATAACTAAAATTTGATTGGAAATGATGGTGTCTATTTAAGTATGTTATAATAGCTGTAATCGATAGTTTTTCCTGATTAAGTGTTAAATCCGATTCTAAACTATAATAAAGAATAAAGAGTATACTTGACATGTTTCAGATACCACAGTTGAGCCTAGAATGGATTCTAGTACATGCTTAGAAGGGGTACCTATTTGTCATGCCAGTGCCGAATATGTCTACTTTAACACTGGTGTTTGTTGTGAATGCAGAGCACCATTCTACGGGAATGGAATTCGATGCTTCAAAATAAGTAAGTGTGTTTAAAATGGTTAAAAAGTCATGTCATTTCTTTATTTGAACATTAAATATTAAATAGTTGTTAGATCGTATTTTATGTACATCTAAAGTTTTTACGAAGTTTTTAATTCAATTATCATATTTATGATTATTTATGTGAATGAGAGTTATTTGCACCATGAAAATTCTACAGTTTTGTCAGCACTGCGTAACTAATAGATATACAGAACAATATCTTGTTTATATTTTATTTGGTTTCTTTTTTTCAAATATTTTTCCTTTTATTTTGCATGTCATGGTGTTTGATAACATGTTTTAATCGTGAGTAATAGGAAACTTAAACGTAACTAAACGACCACAGTTATGATGCTACGTCAGGATACATGACTTAATGTGTAATTAACTTTTTGTCTTTTCACAAATAGAGAATAGACTAATACTCAGAGGAAAAGTTAGTGGAGAGTTAAACAAACAAGCCATGGAAGATTTGGAATTACTTGCTTTTGTATCTGTAACAACTGGATTTATAGAAACACATTTACAAAGTTCGCAAAAAAACTTGGAAAAGATGATGATAGCCATGCAATCTATTGGTGACATCATTGGATGGGTGTTTGCTGTTCCACGGGATAAAGAGGCAAAAAATGGCTTCATTGTGACAGGTATGCGGTTTTATTTTATCGGAATACATAATAATTCGTCATATCAGAATGTGTTTGTTTGTCTATAGTGCAATGGCAAGACATAGCAACTGTCATTGGATTAGAAACTATTGACTTGGATATGCATATAATAGATATAAGAAGATGTGGTATGAGTGCCAATGAGACAACTCTCCATCCAAGTCACAATTTGTAAAAAGTAAACCATTATAGGTCAAAGTACGGCTTCAACACGGAACATTGGCTCACACCGAACAGCAAGCTATAAAGGGCCCAAAAATGACTAGTGCAAAAATAATTTAAACAGGAAAACCAAAGGTCTAATCTATATAAAAAACGAGAAACACTTATGAACCACATCATCAAACGATAACCACTGTACAACAGGTTCCTTCTTATATATAAGTTCATTTTTGGTTCAAGTTTCTTTGCTCAATCGTTTTTTCTTCTTCTGTGAAATGTTCAAATGACTACAGTTTTGTTTTACATTGATGGGTGTCACTTTCTGTATCTCCCATCTATTTTATCCAAGATCCTTTTTTCAAAGGAAATTTGTTCATTTCTTATGAGAGATAGGTTATTAGATATTTTAAACTGAGATATCACAGAAAAGTTTAAGAGAAGATCAGAGCCAATTTAGAGTTTTCAAGCTTTCCTAGATAATGCGTTTTGTTTTAATGTGTAACATATAGATACATGTATTTGAATGTTATTTAGTTTAGTTTAAGATTCAAAACAAACTCGTAATGTAAACAGTTCCCCTCCAACGCCCCCCCCCCCCCCCCCTTCCAAAAAAAAATAATAATAACATACCAGATTAAACGAATAAAAGAGGCTAAAGATAACAGAGGAAAAATCAAAATTCAAAAGTCAACGAGAGACCCACAAAACATGAAAAAACAAAGGAAAAACGACAGAGACTCTAGCAACAGTCTACAAAACACAACATCAAAAACTAAATACTGCGCAACACGAACCCCACAAAACACCGGTGGGATAGTTTTTCCCCCATAAGGGTTAGCAGTTATTGAGGATTCTAATGCAATTCGTTTGTAACGATAATTTTCATTGGACGTTGACAAATATTTTGAAGGGTTAGATTCCACGTTCTACCAGTCTGTAACTAAGAAAGCCACCATTTTGAATTCCGATTTTTTTTTGGTATGTAATTTTCTCACAAAATAAACAAGAAAGTCACATATTGAGCCTCTTTTTGTCAACATTGAAACCATTCTGAAGCGTACGAAAAGTATAAATACGTATAGTGATTATGTTTGAAATCGTGAGTATACATATGACGTCACATGGTTTAGACGATAAAGACGATGCAACAGTTTCGCGGACTTTTTCATTTATGTCATTTTAAGCCAAAATATTTATTAAATGGAATTTATTTTAATATGCTGCATTAGAATGGAGATAACTGTATGGTATTTTAAGCTTGGCCTTTTTAAAACTTGATTTTACTGTCGCAAATATCCGTTTACCTAGCTCCGCTACGCGTCGCTAGGTAAACTCAATCTGCGACAGTGAAATCTACGTTTGACGAAGGCCAAGCTTAAAATACAGTACAGTTATCTCCTAAATGATGAGTGTTTAGGGTACAAAAAAGGAAAGAGAAGTCAAATGTTGTTATAATATTACAAGAGGAATGTACTCAGATTGCATGTGCTTTAACAGATCTTTGGAATTTGGTAATATAGGTATATTATACACAAAATACAAGCAAGAACAAATACATTATGATAAATTGAGAACCAAGTTATTGTTTTAGGTGGAGAACTGAACAGAACAGCTTTAATCAAGTACCAGAGTGGCGAGACTGTGTTAATTACACAACAGTTCTCTACCGTTTCGTCAGAGTTTAAAGTTCAGACATTTATAAATGGAACAGTTCCAGATCCAGTGGATAGTATAATATTTAATGACTTGACTGAACAGTACAAACCCGTTTCCAGAGGTACTATACTTTACCTGATAATATAATTGTGATAAAATTTACACATACATTAATGGTATACACAAGAAATTTACAAATATTTCATAACATTCGAGACCACAGATAAGAAATGTTGACATCAAGCAAACCTTCTATCTAAGAGTGAGTTGACTTTACAATGACAATAAAGTTAAAAATGGGAATAAAACAATCAAACTCTAGATGACTATTAAAAATCAACAACACAAAACAAATCCAACGAGACAGCAAACATATATATGAACTGAGAAAAATTCAGGCTAAAGCTTTTTGGACAATATGATAGAATGCAATGAATTTATTTAAATATACGAATGGAATAATCGTATTGCTTTTTTTATAATGCTTCCTTTGTCAGTGATAACAAGTGATTATTCCACATTAATATTGGTGAATATTAGTCTATATAGTTATTATTATTTTGTATTCTCTTATTTCATAGGCGTTATAAAGTCATGTTCTACAAGAAAATTTGAAACAAATGGCTTCACATTCAATTTTACAATTGACCAGACTATAACTTTTAATGAATGCCAACACAGTCCATTTAGACACAGCTTGAGTTTTCTGCGACATGTTGCTACCAGAAATCTTGTTATAAATGATAGAAAGAATGATGTTCTCCGATTTTCCTCGACCAATCAAATCTGTGAGATATAATTTCAATTATTTTCTATATTGATCTACACAATTCTACCACGAACACTTGACAATATGTAAAAAGCTTTCAATTTTGTTAGTATTATGTATCACAAATAAATTGTTTTTATTTTTTCTATTTATTAAGAAACTTTTAACTGTTTGAAATCGATAAAAGAAATTTGCATTTTTTTTTCAACTAGATAAAAATTGCATTTTTGGACGACTTAATGTTATATATTTAGGTCGTTTTTGGTTTGAGCATTACTTATAAAGGCATAACTAAAAGCGTTTTGGACACACTAACATTAATTCTTCTAAACATAACTACAGGATTAAGGCAAATAACAAACTTCATTGACTATTTTTGTTTTAAGCCAAGTTGTGACAAGTAAAATTCGGCTTATCTTATGATTTTTCTGGACAAAAATCTACATAGATAAATGTCAATGGTTTCATAAAAAGAAGTCACTCAAATGGAATATCGTATCTCCGGGTAGATATATTCTCCATATGCAAGCGCTGCTGGAATGTTGCTTCAAAAAAATGGAAAGTTTATAATCGGCAAGGTTACATCATCTCTTTTGTCGAAAAGCTTTGATCTTATCTGACCCTTATTGTCAATTTCTAGATGTAAGTCAAGATATGAGTCAGACTTATATTTCAAATTTTTCATGTCGGTTCTTTAATAGCCGACCATACGGTTAGGGTTTTTCTCATTGTTGAAGGCCGTACGGTTGCCTATAATTGCTTACATCCACTTCATTTGAACTTTGGTGGATAGTTGTCTCATTGACAATCATACCACATCTCCTTATATCCCTAACATGATTTTTTTCTTATTTGATACTTGACCTTTGTCGTAAGATACAATTATTATTTAGATCTTTTGTTTTCATATTTTATACAGATATAAATGAATGTGCATCTGGTCCATGTAAAAACGGAGGTACCTGTACAGATACTGTGAATGGATATAAATGTACATGTTTTTCCAGATATGAAGGAGTTAATTGTGGAGAAAGTAAGCAAAGTGTGTGTGTGTGTGTGTGTATGTGATGTTTTTGAATGACATGTTTATAACATAATTATAAATATTAGATACTCTATGTATTGAAACATAAGAGAAATTTGTAAAATTAGTTTCTTTGTATATAAATTCAGCTATGTTAGCAAATAACACTCATGCATTAAAATACCCTGTCACACAGAAAATAGCTTATAGGAGATATAAGACTTATTCAACGATTGACGGAGAACAAAAGAAATGCGATTGACAATTAATGCACTTAGTAGACTGTTGTATGGACTAATAAAAAATAAGAATACGATAAGCGAAAACAGAAAACAGTGAAAATAATTAAGTTCTCTGTAGGAAGTCTTTGCAGAAGAATTAATATCTTTTCATATATACCTATATGGAGTTATTTCCTTTTAGAACGATAGGTCTTTCGTCTGAAGTAACAACCCAAATAATACCAAGTTTAGATAAAATGTGCTGCAAAGCACAAATTAATTATTCGTGTAAGATCATTATTTACCCCGATTTAAAGTTTGTTAAAAATATTTAATTCATTTGATAGTAATCATGTGTTGTTGCAAATTTGATCTTTACTATGCAATTTACATTCCTTTCTATTGTTTTAAAGGTTTAAGGCAAAAGCACCCCTTCCAAACTATTTATTAGACTGAAACACTAGTACCAAAAAACGTATTTAACATACAGTTTTATCTTAGACACACCTCATGTGAAGTTCTTCTAACTTATTGCTGCAATTAAGGGCCATTCTGTAAGAAATATTTAATAGTGCAAAACTGTTCATAACACTTTTAAAATTGGAAAAATCTAATCATATTCATTTGCAGGATAATAAAAAACAAAACAAAATATAACATCCTAATTCACATCGTATTTGGAATCTATGGATGTCTGTGTTTTGTGTTACATGTACATTATCAGATTTATGCATAAGGCTGATAAACAAATTTTCTTATCTTATACTTCTTATCTAGAAGGAAAAATTATCCGAAGGTTCGTTGGTTTGCATGAAAGAAGCTCAGAAGGAACTTGCCAAAATTGCCTTAAAGATTAGGTCAGATGAAAGACGTTAACTCACTCTGATCATCGAAATAAACATAAGTTCAAGAGATAAGTACGTGGCAGGTTCGCAAGTAATTTGCTGTTGCTAACTTGTACAGGGCCTACCTATATTTAGTCACATACTGTAACACATAAATTGTTTACAGAAAAGGTCATATATAATTATGGTGGTAAGTATATGTATGTTCATAGATGTGTTTTTATGTGTTAGCTTTCGTTATTTTTACTTAGCATAGATAATACCTAAATGTTGTAAGATAACTTGGTCTCTGTGCGATAGATACAAGCCTACAATGATCAGCCTTAAGCCCTTTACTCTTAATAAACACACCACATGTTGTAAGATAACTTGGTCTCTGTGCGATAGATACAAGCCTACAATGATCAGCCTTAAGCCCTTTACTCTGAATAAACACATCACAAACACGTCTCAGTTATATGACTTCTGAATTCAACATCTAAAGAAAACGAAAAATCATTTGATGAATGAAGTTAATACTTCGATATTTGTTGTCAACTAACCATTTTACTATTTCGTATGAAGATATTTTAAGTTCTTAAAGATACCTATCTTCATAATGTAAAATCTTCACATGACACAATTTGAGTGTTTCATAGATACAACTGAGAATAGGTTTTGCCTTTGGTTTAAACCCCGGGGTGTATCTATTTCTTCTTGCTTTGCATTGCTTTGCTTTCGAGATTTATTGTTATGGAACCTGTTGTTCAGTGGTTGTCGTTTGTTGATGTGGTTCATAAGTGTTTCTCGTTTCTCGTTTTTTATAAAGATTAGACCGGTGGTTTTCCTAATTGAATTGTTTTACATTGGTCATTTTTGGGCCTTTTATAGCTTGCTGTTTGATGTGAGCCAAGGCTCCGTTTTGAAAGCTGTACTTTGACCTATAATTGTTTACTTTGCACACATTTTGACTTGGATGGAGAGTTGTCTCATTGACAATTATACCACATCTTCTTATTTCTATGGTATGTTTTAAATGGCATATGTGTATATAAAGAACACTTTTGTATTGGTCTTTTGTTGGGCAATGTATGACAAATATATGTTGAAAAACCTCGCCCGTAATTATAAATTATGTAATTCATTGACCGCTCCCGACATGTGTAACTTCAAAGCATATTTTAGCGGCAATCGATGTCTTTCAAAATTACTGCACTTTTCTTGTATCCCTGGTGCTTTCGACTGGAGAACCGTCGTACACAAGCACCGCACAAGTTAGCACTCCGAGACGGGTGGGGAGCAAGAAGGTGAACTTTGGTTTATGTTTATCAATAGTACCGCTTAAGTCGACGCTAGGGGCCGTCTTGACCTTGTTGTAGGGTATGAATGATTCGTTCATTGTTGAAGACCCTACATCAACTGTCAAGATGAAGAACAGGAATAAAATAAAAGCCCTGTTCATTGATAATTTTTTTATTTTTTCTATGTATTGTGTGCGATTTTGTCCCATGTACATTTACTCCATATCCTTTTATTTTCTATTGATTCTAGAGTTTGTCTCTAGTGCTGTGTGGAGGCAATAGAACGTTTCCCCGTGCTTGAGGTGCTTGAGGTGTATGCTCTTATAATATTTACAGTTATGGTGTGCTTGTTCATGTGAGAATTTCCCATACTAATACACCGTCAAAATTTCATGTTTGGCTATTTAATATTTTCTTAATTTCTTCAAAATACTGGTCTGGTCATCTGTTTTGTATATTGCCCTTTTATACCATTTTAAACTGCTAGGTTTTCTTACGTTTATTTCGATGCGCCCCGTGCTGTCTATCATTTGTTGTTTAGTTTTATATGTATTGTCTATCATTTGTTGTTTGTAATGTATTGGTCTATTGTCGGGCAATGTATGACAAATATATGTTGAAAAACCTCGCCCGTAATTATAAATTATGTAATTCATTGACCGCTCCCGACACGTGTAACTTCAAAGCATATTTTAGCGGCGATCGATGTCTTTCAAAATTACTGCACTTTTTTTGTATCCCTGGTGCTTTTGACTGGAGAACCGTCGTACACAAGCATCGAACAAGTTGGCACTCCGAGACGGGTGGGGAGCAAGAAGATGAACTGTTGTTTATGTTTATCAATAGTACCGATTAAGACGACGCTAGGGGCCGTCTTGACCTTGTTGTAGTGTATGAATGATTCGTTCATTGTTGAAGACCCTATACAGTCCTTGGATGGTGTAAACTTCCCACTCACACCATACACCATTACACCATTCACCATACACCATTACACCATACACCTTCTGCCATTACACCATGCACGTTACACCTTTGCACCATACACCTTACACATTACACCATACACCATTCCCCATTCTATCTACACGATCCGAAATTACCCATAATGCAATTAAATTTCAAAGAAAGCGTGCGACTACAAAATTATTTATTTGATTTAAAAAACGAATTTTGATCACAATATTGTAAATTAATGTATAAAATTTAAATCTCCGTGGTCATGCCTATGATGGTTATATAAACAATACAGATTAAATATATATACATGTATTTGTAAATAAAGTACGCATAAAACTTTTCTTGTAATGCAAATTTATCCGCGATCTGCCTATCTATAAATTAAAAACGATATTGGTTACAATGCTATTATTATCGGTTTTAACATGTATCGTAAATCTTATAAACTTGGTTTTCAGATAAAATCGACAAACAATGCCAAAAATGAATACTTCAGGATGACTGGTACATGTACAACATGTACAACAAAATTATTTTAAGCATCAACCAAAACTGACCATATTTGCACTTATAATTATCAAATTGAGAATGGAAATGGGGAGTGTGTCAATCTGTTAATATATATAGGGTTAAAAAATTTGGAAATATTTTTGCCCTCCTTTTATTAAAAATATTGTCTCGCTACAAAATTTCAGTAATTTTGATACCTCAGGCTGACTCATATAACAAAATTATTTAACTCATCAACCAAAACTGACCATAATATTTTCACTTTATTATAAAGATCTATATAGCCGCATAGTAAATCAGCAATATTTTGATGTCAGGGTGGATTGTATAATACAAATGACAGCAACATTGCAAAACAACATGTACAATGACAAAAATTTGTCCCCATCAATCTAGATTGCCAGCATGTCCTCTTTTTATTCAATATATTGTCTCGCAACAAAATTTCAGTAGTTTTGATACCTCAGGTTGACTCGTATAACAAAATTATTTTAACGCATCAACAAAAACTGACCATATTTGCACTTTATTATGTATATCTATAAAGCCACATAGTAAATCAGCAATATCTTGTTGTCAGGATGGATTGTATAACACAAATGACAGCAACAGTGCAATACAATGACAACAAAAATTTGTCCTGATCAATCTAGATAGCCAGCATGACCTCTTTTATTCAAAATATTGTCTCACAAGAAAATTTCAGTAGTTTTGATACCTCAGGCTGACTCGTATAACAAAATTATTTTAAAGCATCAACCAAAACTGACCATATTTGCACTTTATCATGTAAATCTATATAGCCGCATAGTAAATCAGCAATATTTTGATGTCAGAATGGATTGTATAATACAAATGACAGCAACATTGCAATACAATGACGACAAAAAATATACCCATCAATTTAGATAGCCAGCATGTCCTCTTTTAATTCAAAATATTGTCTTGTAAGAAAATTTCAGTAGTTTTGATACTTCAGGCTGACTTGTATAACAAAATTATTTTAAAGCATCAACCAAAACTGACCATATTTGCACTTTTAATCTTATGTATATCTATATAGCCACATAGTAAAGCAGCTATATTTTATTGTCAGAATGGGTTGCATTATACAAATGACAGCAACATTGCAACACAATGACAACAAAAATTATCCCCATCAATTAAGATTGCCAGCATGTCCTCTTTTTATTCAAAATATTGTCTCGCAACAAAATTTCAGTAATTTTGATACCTAAGGCTGACTAGTATAACAAAATTATTTAAACGCATCAACAAAAACTGACCATATTTGCACATTATTATGTATATCTATATAGCCACATAGTAAATCAGCAATATTTTGATGTCAGGATGGATTGTATAATACAAATGACAGCAACATTGCAATACAATGACAACAAAAATTTATTCCCATCAATCTAGATAGCCAGCATGTCCTTTTTTTATTCAAAATATTGTCACGCAACAAAATTTCAGTAGTTTTGATACCTCAGGCTGACTCATATAACAAAACTATTTTAAAGTATCAACCAAAACTGACCATATTTGCACTTTATTATGTAAATCTATATAGCCGCATAGTAAATCAGCAATATTTTGATGTCAGGATGGATTGTATAATACAAATGACAGCAACATTGCAATACAATGACAACAAAAATTTGTCCCCATCAATCTAGATAGCCAGCATGTCCTCTTTTTATTCAAAATATTGTCTCGTAAGAAAATTTCAGTAGTTTTGATACCTCAGGCTGACTTGTATAACAAAATTATTTTACAGCATCAACCAAAACTGACCATATTTGCACTTTTAATATTATGTATATCTATATAGCCACATAGTAAAGCAGCTATATTTTATTGTCAGAATGGATTGTATAATAAAAATGACAGCAACATTGCAACACAATGACATCAAAAATTATCCCCATCAATTTAGATTGCCAGCATGTCCTCTTTTTATTCAAAATATTGTCTCGCAACAAAATTTCAGTAATTTTGATACCTAAGGCTGACTAGTATAACAAAATTATTGAAACGCATCAACCAAAACTGACCATATTTGCACATTATTATTTATATCTATATAGCCACATAGTAAATCAGCAATATTTTGATGTCAGGATGGATTGTATAATACAAATGACAGCAACATTGCAATACAATGACAACAAAAATTTATTCCCATCAATCTAGATAGCCAGCATGTCCTCTTTTTTATTTAAAATATTGTCACGCAACAAAATTTCAGTAGTTTAGATACCTCAGGCTGACTCGTATAACAAAATTATTTAAACAAATCAACCAAAACTGACCATATTTGCACTTTATTATGTAAATCTATATAGCCGCATAGTAAATCAGCAATATTTTGATGTCAGGATGGATTGTATAATACAAATGACAGCAACATTGCAATACAATGACAACAAAAATT